CGTACGTGTATGTGTGTTTCATGGCGTTTTTCCATAAGTGGGCAAAAACGCTGATTTCTATGAGAGATTATATTTTTAAATGTGTCCGCTGAAATGCAAATTAAGAAAGGAACGGGGCAATAAATTGGTCAGTATTTATAGTGTAGGGAGAGCGTCCCCTAGTGAACTATTAGGGAAATAAGGAGGAGCTAACTCCGTGCGGTCGTAGCAGAAGATATACACCACGTGGCTTTTGGGGGCCACTTAGGAAGAAGTAAATAATATAATTCTGGAGCCGATGTTCTTACGAAAAAGTGTGTAAAATTCACGAAGTCCGGCCCCAAACATGAGACACACAGATGTCACCAAGGTCCACGTCACTCTAGTTGTTTATCTTCAAGACCCCATTCACGTCCAATGTAAAACGCTACTGCGCTGTCAAACTACAAAGAGACCATTCCAAACAAAGGCAATATAGTTCACAGTAAGAACTAAATTCTAACCATCACTTGTATCCCCCCGTTTCACTAAGCACGCACACACGTACTGATTCTTTGACACAAACACACTTATAACAACATTTTACTGTTTATCACATACAAATGTAATTTATATTCTATTCCAGAACTTTATTAACCAAAACAAAAGGGCATTACTTTCAAATCTATAATCAACTTCTTATATTCTTGTCGTTATATCAAATTAATGTTTATTTGTTGATACTGTTGTGAACAAAACAAGATCTAGATTTAAAATTCAAATGCTAAGCACTGACTCATTGATTTTGTTAGGAATTAAAAAGACTCGAATTTACAAACTTTGCATAACACACACGCAAAAGCGAATCCAAAACAAAACACGTGAAATTTCACACCTTGATGCGAAATGTTTTTCAGCCAATAGAAACTTAGGAAACATTTAAAAACAAAATTCAAATAATCTTCAATTCTCAGAAACAAATTCTTTTTACGGACCTTTTCGCGAGCCGACGCGAAGTTTGTTCGTCGTCCAATGGAAAGGGCCGAATCATATCCGGGAGTGAATTCCCAAATGACCTTTTCAAGACCCAACAAACAAAATAAAAGACGGGCAAGTTCGCCTGTCACCTGAGAGGAGGAGACGAGCGTATTAACACGTCTTTTGAATACAACGTTGTCTTTTTCTACTGGATCTTATTCTTTCAATGTATATCGTTGGATAATCCTAAATGGCCGAATTACCAGCAGTCCCGCAATAGTATTTTTATGATATTGTATCGAATCCCGACACTCCGAATTTTAACATTTAACAAACACCCGAGTAGATGGATTCCTACAGGTTATCCTTTCCTTTTCTTCTTCTTCAGTAGCAACAGTGGTAGTAGTAATAGTAGTAATAGTAGTAGCAGTCTTTCTTATCCCAAAATTGCAATGTCAGTCGCTGTCTACTGTACTGATAACTCGCTCGTTAGTAATGTTGCTGTTTTTTAATTCTTCCACACCCAGTAACCCACTTGTGTCTTAGTGGCTTTACTGCCTTGCATGGGGTGAACTCGATTACAAAAATGATAGCAGCCCCTATTATCAACTAAGTGTGGTTAAATCCTCTCTGAGCTAGTATTAGAATTTAATTTGAGAACCACTATGATAGCATCTGTCTATATTTCTGAGATGAGGTATTATGTACACTATTTACATTATTCGGACTATTGTCCTCATCTTTGTCGCCATATTTATTACAACGTTTCGGCCTTTCAGTATCTGTCTATATTTCTGAGATGAGTTATTATGTACACTATTTACATTATTCGGACTATTGTCCTCATCTTTTTGCCATATTTATTACAACGTTTCGGCCCTTCAGTATCTGTCTATATTTCTGAGATTGTCATTTACATTATTTGGACTATTGCCCTCATCTTTGTCGCCATATTTATTACAACGTTTCGGCCTTTCCGCATCTGTCTATATTTCTGAGATGAGGTATTATGTACACTATTTACATTATTCGGACTATTGTCCTCATCTTTATTGCCATATTTATTATTCGGCCCTTATATCTGTCTATATTTCTGAGATGAGGTTTACATTATTTACATTATTTGGACTATTGTCCTCATCTTTGTCGCCATATTTATTACAACGTTTCGGCCTTTCCGCATCTGTCTATATTTCTGAGATGAGGTATTATATACACTATTTACATTATTCGGACTATTGTCCTCATCTTTGTCGCCATATTTATTACCACGTTTCGGCCGTTGTACGCTCCGGCCTTCTTCAGGTGGTTGGAATGTCGAACTGAACCATTTATTTCGCTCGCTGGGATAGACTGTTTTAGTTCGACGTACCATGTTTAATAAAGGCGTTAGTTAGATCCAGTGACAGGAGCCAAATAGTCTGAGTTCAATACTCGGTTAAGGCAGTGGAGAACTTGAAGAGGGGAATTAACAGGAGATAACTGGCATCCATTAAACATGGCACGTGGAACTAGAACAGTCTACACCAGTGAGCGAAATAAAGGCTTTAGTTCGACATTACCTGAAGAAGGCTGGAGCGTACAACGGCCGAAACGTTAATAATTTTTTTACAAAGTATTTCGGGTGTTAAAACCTATTTTTACACTTTTATAGTGTTTTGACCCCAATTTGGGGATTAACTATTTGCCCATAGCTGTGACCCTAGCAAAAGAGGAGCAAGTTGCTAACTGACTGCGTTGACTTTCTGTTTTCGATTTCTCTGTTTAGTTTGCCGTTATCAGTAAATATGCTGCCCAGGTATTCGAATTAACAGCCAGTTTAGCAGTACACTTAAAATCATGTCGAGATAACAAGAGAGGGTCATTAGAACGACTGTCATGAAAATACGAAGGAAAGTAAAAAAAAAAATATATCCGCACTCATAATACAGGTATGTTATGGTGAATGTGCGGATAAATTTTGACTTACCCTCGTATTTGCAGAAAAGACAGAGAGAAGCCACATTTCTGCTGCCTCTAGTTTTCTCCTCATCCATGAGGGGATCGTCCAGCATTCACTGCCATATTAGAAGATGGATACCACATAGCAATCCAACATTCTGTCCTTTTTTTTTTTTCGAACGATTTTTTTTTTCCGTTTTTCAGCACCTTAAATTTTGGAATACTTTTTGCACCCGTCCAATGCGTGCTTAGAAATTCGGTGCCGTATTTTCTATACACTGCTAAAATACATTTTAACGCTTCATACATTTTGTAAAAAAATACAGAAATTATCATTTGGTTTTAATATTAACTACTTTTTTTTTCCTAAATAGGATTACACAGGTTCGTCTATTGCCCGGCTCACACTCCTCCCTGTTTTTTTTTTAACGCGTGTATATGTTTATCGCTTCTTTAGAATTACATTTCCGGGTCATTCTAAAGTCTTTTTCAACTCTACACTTCTGACGTCTCCGCCTGACTTCTGAAATTTTGCTCTCCTTGGCCTACCGCCCGGTTCACACTCCTCCCCAGTTTTTCGAACGGAGGTAGATGTTTATCACTTGTCTCTTCTTTTGGATTGGGTTTCTGGTTCCTTTTGAAGTTTGTTTTTCATTCTCTTTCACCCCCCAGTAAGTGACATTATCGCCTTACTTTCTTTGACTTTGACTTGTATCATTTTTCACCCTGGTCGGGTTGAATCGGCTTCCTCCCGACCCCAAGTACAGCATCACGGACCATCGCTGCCCACGCTCGCCGATCCTGAGCCAGGTCACACGAAATGGCGAGCCAATCGCGATTCCATCGTCGAAGACCAACTACTTGTGGACCCGATAGTACTGCTAGGTCATCCTTGATTGTGCTAGCCCACGTCCTCAGCTGCCCACCGACACGTTTTCGCCAGCCAGGACGAGAAGGAGGGAGAAGTACATCACGGATGAGCTCTCCCTCCGGGCGTCGAGCTGCGTGCACGAACCATCGGAGACGACGCCTTACTTATGGTGAATTGATTTAAAAAAAATATAACCTGCTGCCCCGCTACGACCTCCTTTTTCTCTCTATTGCCATTGAAAGTGCTCAAACGAACCACACTCATTCTTTTCGTATTACATTAGTGAGAAGAAATCATCTGCCGCTAACCACTGGCCTATGGAAATGACTCCCAAAAGGATACTTCCCTGGTCACTATAATCTTAACCTGTTCAAATCAAGGGTTAACCGTTATTTTCCCAGCATAATCTGTACCTCTTGCTCTGTAACACTCTACCTCAAGTGACTCCCAAGCCTTGTACAGGATAAATAACATTGTAAAAATAAAAGTTAAAATTTGCATTATGACGTTTAAATTGAACATCTGACAACTCTTATCTTTTGAAACAAAAAATCAACATCAATAAAGGTGCTTGTTTTTTGTTTTTTTTAATTTAATACAAATAAAAAAAAACAATTTGATTCATTTTCTACGGTTTATCAATCCATTGAAAGTTATTTAAATCCAGAAAATATTTTTAGATTTTAAGAGTTTTTTTTTTTTGTTGAGGAAAGGGGCAATAATACTGATTCAGTTATACAAGTCTAACTAATTAACCCATAACTGGAGGAGGACGAGGTGGATTAATATCAAATCAAAATTTGATAAACAAACAAGATTTCATAATGTGGTTATAAATGGGGGGCAATTTTATATTACAATCAATACATAAACAGATCCCTCATTTTGTGGCTACTGTCGTTTCTATACATTTATACTCCAGAGAATGTAAATAAATCTAAAAGACGTATCTGTGCAGCTAATCAGTATTTGATTGACTGATTCGTTTTTTACGGCTAATCAACCTTTTGAAGGTTATTTAAAGCCATGAAATATGTTTAGATTGTAAGAGTAATTTTTTTTTTTTGATAATAATAGTTTAGTGATACAAGTTTTATTTATTAACCCATAGCTAAGGGGAGAAGAGGTGGGTTCGTACTTTTCCCAAGTGCATTTGCACGTAAGTGAATATAACGAACCGAGCTGGAACTAGAACTCTGCTCACCGTCAACAATTCCGAGCCATTATCTGTTACACCACCCTCACATCCATGCTTACAGCAGCTGTTATTCCCAAGTTGTTACCCATCTAGCTACTGACCAGGCTCGACGTTGCTTAACATTAGTGATCGTACGGGAACCGATGTTTCTCCCTGACGCTCCTCCACCCCCCTTTTTTTTTTTTGCTCACCGGTTCTTTGGATATTTATACCGACATCTAATTTGAAACCCAACCTTTTGGCTCACACCCTCACCCTACTCCACACACACACACCGTCCCTTCATGATCTTATTTATTTATTTCTACTCCCACCCCCGGAAAACGTTCTCTACAGCTTGTCCTCCTTTCTCTGTGTCAATCATACTAGTCCCAAAATTAAGATTCATTTTAAGTTGCCGTAACGTCCAGATAACAATTTCTGAAAATCATCATAATTTGGAAATGTTTAGTTTATTTTAATTTGCATATTTTTTTTCCCTTTATTATTATCAATATTTAATAATCTTTCTTTTTTATATTTTAATTATTCAACACTTTTCTTTTTTTTACCCTCATTGGTAATTAACTAACGAAATCTTAGCAATGCCAGTTCTGGGGGGAAAAGGAAAACTCCGGCGGTCGTGTGCGTGTCAAGAATGAACAAACATTTTATGAAAGGCTTGTTTGTTTTTAATTTCATTTTTATTCTATTTAATTTTTTTGCCCGCCAAACAATGTAGCCTATTATCAGCATTATACTGTGTCTGCCACTGAGTTTCATTTCTGTATCGATCAGTATAAATTTATTTTCTCTATACAAAAAGGTGTTGAAAAGGTCTCGGTCCGACCAAGGCGACCTTTGTCGCATCCACCAATACGACCGTTGGTGAATTAGCTCCCTTGTTTAAAATGTATACATTTCTTGCTAATGTATTGTTGAGTTATTTCCTCCTAATTTCAGAAATTGTTACTAGGGGGGACGCTCTCCAGTTCTTTAAATACTCGGCGATATCTTTTCTCGCCGTCTCTTCTTTCCGGCTAGACGGTCGAAATCTCTGCCTCTGAGCAGAGAGGAAACAGGACGAGGGTCAGCCGAAGGACAGAGTCACGTTCGAGGAGGTTGACCAACCAGATCCCGTTATGCGGATTTTACGGGCAATTTTTGGCCGAGCCCACGGGCTCGGAGAACCCACGTTAAATCCGGCCCTGTGCCACATGCAACCCTCGTGGTGGTGGTGGTGGTGGGGGGGCTAAATATAGTCTCTTCTTGTCCGCTAATACAAGAACATGTAAAATTTCTAGCGGAAGAACGTGATCCCTCTTCTGGGATATGCATGAACATTACACACACACACACACGCGTATGTACGCACATTCACTCACTCACACATACTTTGGACCACAAACTTATCACATTCATTTGTTACACACACATTATTGTCTTTGTCATTTGTAGCCTTTTTGTTGTTAATATGTCGAAGTTAACTTCTCCTTAATTGTCCAATTTGTTCACTGGGAGACGCTCTCCTTACACTATAAATATTGGGCGATTTCTTGCCTCGTTCTCTTTTTTACTTTGTATTTCAGCGGACACATTTACAAAATGTGATCTTTCGCAGAGATCTGCGTTTTGCCCACTTGTGGGAAAACACCATGAAACACACATACACGTACGTACGAACATTCACCAACGAACAAACTCTTTACGGTCACATACAAAACACAAATGTTAATGTCTATGTCCATTGTCAATTTTGTTGTTTAATACATATATTTATTGATTATATATATATATATATATATATATATATATATATATAGGTTTTGTTTAATATATATATTTGTTGATTATATATATCGGTTTTGTTGGTTTTCTTTGCACTTCTTTGTGGTGAGTTTAATCTCTGAGTCCGCCATGTTCTTGCAGTGGACCTGCTTCTAGCAGGAATAGACGCACGTGTTCCGAATTTAACAACACGTAAACCCACAGCCCGCTACAAATACATATTAATTTATTTGTACATATATATCGGTTCTTGTTGTTTCTTCTCATTTTTTTAGGTGGCCTCATATCCCGAGTCCGCCATGTTTGTTGTGGGCCATTTCAGGAGACACACATGTTTATCTCACAACGCGTACTCGGCCCGCAACACCTTCTTGCTTTACTTTTCTTTTTTTTAAAGCGATGTTTGGTTATTTGGTCAAATTACCAAAAGTGGAACGGAGTGGAACCATTTTAGCACTACCGTCTGTGTGTCTATTATAGGACCATTGTCCCTAGCTTAGAATTATAGGCGGTGTCATTTTTAAAAGACTCGCTCTCTTTTACGCCGGCTACTATATATATATATATATATATATTTAATAAAACTTAAACACTAATATTCCATGGAATAATTTATTACATGGTTATGACCATGGAATATTTTTATTTTTTATTATATCCTTCTGTCTTAGACATTGAGTTCTACCTGGATCCTTCCTCTTGGAAAATTTTTTCTGAAAATATACATGTATGGGAATTTTTTAGATATATTTTCATATGTATATATTTATATAATATATATATATATATATATATATATATATTGGGGGAAAAATCTGACAACTATATCTATTAAGTTTTAGTGGTTTTATAGATTTACTTGGAAGTAATGATAAACATATTAAAGTGAGAAAGGGAGAAACAGACAGACTTTTATATAAATATATATGAGACGCACCAGGTATTTCAGTAAACCTCTCACTTGAGAGGCTCTTGAGCCTTGAGTTTGGTCAGTCTTAGTTTTTATAAATGTTCTGAAAGGATATAACACAGAGAAGAAAGAGAAAAAAGAAGAAGAAAACGTATCAGAAAAAAGAGAATAATAAGAAGAGTGATTGATTCGTTTTTTACAGTTTATCAACCCTTGGCAGGTTATTTAAAGCCAGAAAATATTTTTAAATTGTAAGAATATTTTTAAGGGTGGGAAAATAATAATGGTTTAGTGATACAAGTCTTACTAATTAACTCATAGCCGGGGTAGAAGAGGTTGATTCATACAAAGGGTGTAAGTGAATATAAAAACCCGACGGGAATTGAAACTCTATGTAAACATTTCTGAGCCGTTAACCATTCCACCACCCACACGTCCAAGTGTACAGCACTTGGTATTCTCAAGCGGAAACCCATCTAGGTACAGACCAGGCTCGACGTTGCTTCACATTAGTGATCATAATGGAACTAGTATTTTTACGGGATAAGGCCTTAAGCCCAAGAAGATTTCAACATTAGCGTTTTTCAAATGATTGGGCATTTACTGAAAGAAGGAATCTTCTCTAATGCTTGACTGTATATTTTTCAGTATTCTTTTTTTATGTGTGCTTATTTTTCAGCGTATTATTCTTGCTTAAGACATTACTTCCTTATAAATATTACATCCATTAAGTTTAAATAAATGCCATTGTCGAAATGATTATTTTCTCAGAGTGTCTCCTTTAAGTACGCCATTTTGTTTGTTGTTTTTTCTTTTGCAGTCATCAGAATTAGAAAATAATTTCAATTCATGAAATATCGTATCATTTTCTTCATGTCGTGTTTTCTCAGTTGACAAGTTGAGCTGATATATTGTCCTTCCAGTGAACGAATATTCTGCTTGGATCAGTTTAAAACTGACGCCTCCCCTATGTATATATATATATATATATATATATATATATATATATATATATATATATATATATAAGCTATAATTATCAACTATTATTTTGCAAAATAAAATTTGGATTGCAATATGGAAGAAAATTTCTGTTTTCATCTGAAATCAGGAAAGTACTAACTTTAAGCAGAATGGTCAAAAATAAAAACGACAACGTAATTTTAATCCATATCCCTTTGGCGTCACATTAAAATCTGTTCTTTTTTTTTACCATATATCTAACCTGCGATTACAAACTATAATTTTATAAAGTGAAAATCACACTGAAATATGTTGAAATATTTACAAGTTTTCATCAAAAATAAAAATAAAATATAAACTTAAAGCAAAATTGCACAATATATAAAAAAGAAGACAGCACTGTTTAAACTGACGCCATGAAAATGTGGGTTAAGCAGTATACTGCTTTACAGAACATTATTGTCCATCATCTTCAGCTGCTCTTGAAAATCCTGGACTAATTATTATCGAATAATTACCCGTAAATATATGCCGCAGTGGAAGGTCATGAAATCAGGTGTTTGGGTCACTCCCCAAACAAATTCACAATCATCGGCACTTTCTTCTACAGTGTAACCCGGATATAAGAGACCAGGATATAAGAGAGATTTTCTCTGGTCCCAAATTAGAGCCTGTGTTAATGTATATAAATTAGACCAAACTTCTTCTCCGGTCCCGACAACTCTCTTATATCCGGGTTACACTGTACTATGGTTTTCTTTCACCTCCAACCAACTCTTGCAAAGTCAAAAGGCGATAGAGAATAGAATGCGGGATTTTATGTGACCAATAATTTGCCCTCTGTAGAAAATAAGGGTAAAAAGAGCATTGACGCAACACGGCGAGAGAAAACAGGACAACACCAAACTTGTGTGGGAAAAAAAGAATGGCTTTATATCAGAAAGAGGAAGAAAAAAGAAGGGAAGATAGAAAAATTGGGTTTAAAAATTGTTGCCAAAAAACAATGGTTTTTTTCGAGAACTTAACTTGTGGCAGTAAAGTTCGTTCGGTTTCAGCCCAACCCAGGGGCCGGTGATAACGACCCCTACAAAGGGAGGTAATTCATTTATCTGTATAATATTTTCAATAATGGATGACTGGAGCAGGTTTTGGCAAAACTGTATTTGGTGGCGAATTTAGTTATCAATGCCATCATCATAAAGGAAACGATCACGAAAAAGAAATTAAATTCTTGGATATGAGACAAAGCAGACGACAAGTAAATAAACTAAAAGAAAACTGTAGTCATACTTCATTCCAAAGAAGTTATTTAGACAATATATGTTAAATTCATAAACAAAATTCAAACGGATAGAGATGTCAACTTAATAATCAATAATAAATTTTTTTAAAGAGATTAAAAAAAAGATTACTAGAAGTAAACTTATATTTTAAAATAAAATTTTATTCTTTTAATGTACTTTCTCTGAATATTTTTCTAATCGACTATTTCATAGAAAATCCCCAAAAT